AGATGGTATTTTTTTTTTTTTCGTGTCCGGCAACGGATCACAACCCTCAGTGTTGCGCCCGGACCGGACCGGCAACGGGATCGCAACCCTCAGTGTTGCTCCCGCACCTCGCTCAGCCAGTGAGCGGGAACCGGTCTGTATGTGGGATCCGAACCCTCGGCAGGAGTGCCGCTGCGCTTCCCAAGCGGCGCACTGTAGCAGTGCGCCACCGGGCCGGCCCCAGATGGTATTTTTCAATCTATTCTTCTACCTCAAAATTCTACTTTCATCTTCACTGCTCCCAACAATGATGACTCAAGTATCAAGCCACAAAGCAACGAGTGAAAGTGTTACCACCTATAATAATTGACTTAATTTGTGTAATACACTTAGAACAATGACTACCTCATAGTAATTACTCAAAAATGTTATTTACTATAAGCAAAAATCTTCAGCGTCAAGTCATAGAGATCGTTTCTAAATAGTGGACAAAATTCCAGACAAACCCACCAAAGCCTGTTTGCTCTACATGAACTGCACGTATTCTTCATGGTGCTATCTGAGCTAGTGCTATGTTCTCTATGACTAAATTTAAACAGGTAAGTTTTTGAGTCTGCGATTCTCAATGTACTTTGAACAGAGACATAGATAGAACAGATGTTTTCACAGAGAAAGGGTTGGGAACTCTCAGGTCAATGTGTACTTACGGGTCATTCAGAAGACAAGTAATGACTGCATTAAACTGTTCTTGCCTGACATTTTTTCCTTTAAACTAAAATAATTTTCAAAATACCTAAATCTCTGAAGTAATATTTTTCCAAGTCCTTCTTTCAGAGTAAAGCTGGGCCTACTTAACTAGCCAACACACCACAACCTGAAAATCTGGCTTGGCATTTGTCCACCTTTGGAGGGCACTCTGTGCATATCAGGTCCCCACCCTCCTCCTTCAACTGCCTCCTAGACATAAAGTGAACCTCTATGGCTTTAATGCCCTACACATAAAAAGGTATTATCTGTCAGGAAAAACAACCTAAGTGAATAACAATAACAAGACACAATCGTAGTCTTCAGTTTACCATGAAGAAAGACTGGTTTGAATGAACGGTATTCCAAACCAGAAAAAAAAATTCATGAGCACAGATTTCTGATTTAGTTCTCAAAAGATCAACATTTATGAAACTACAACAGCATTACCTTGTGTTTTGTATACTCTATCTAGCCTTGAAAGAAGTTCATAACATACACAGGGAAGGTGCTATACTCATTTTACAGACAAAGAAAATGAGGCCCAGAGAAGTTAGAACACTTACCCCAGGTCACACAGCAAGTTGGTAGCAGAACCAGCAATAGACCTCATATCCCTGGGTCCAGGACTCTTTCCATTATACTAAGCTACCTCCCATATGACACAATGAAACTGGAAAAGAAAATATTTCATGGGCCTGACCTTACTAATTCTAATTCTCTTCTTGAGGCACATATACACAAAAGAATCCTCTGGGGTGCATATACACTGCATTTAATATTTTCTCCAAGAACATCTTGTGTGGCAATGACAGAATACAGGAGAAAATGACATGGAGTGGTGTTAAAAGAGTACAGGACCTAGAATTAAAAGATCTGAGGTATAGTCCTTACTTTGCCACTGGACCCTTAAACAGCCATAGCCTTAGGCAACTATTTAAGCATTTTTACTTCCTCACCTATTATAATAACTGCCCAAACAGCTTTGCAGAGTTACTGTAAATATAAAATTAAACAATGTATGTTAAATCCATAAATAAAAAAGTGCTTAATAAAGTTTTTTTTTCTTTTAAAGCAGTGTACAGATTAGGTAAAGTTTATGCTCAAATAGAGATTTAGAGATCAACACGGCACTCTAGTAGCCATTCTGGTACACTTCCTTTGCAAGGTAAAATGAGGAATCATAAACATAGTAGGTACGCAATAAACAATTAATGGATAATTTTCAGAAGGCAGCACAGTGCAGCAGAAAAAGTACCACACCAGAGACCTGGGTTCTCGTTCTGAACCTGTATGAATGAGATGTGTGACTCTGGGCAAATACCTCACCTCGCTGGCCTCAAACTCTATAGCTATAAATATCAGGGCATCAAACAGATTGTGCCAAGTCCCTTCCAGGTCTCAAATTGTAACCAGAGTTAACAGAACTCGCTTACAAGGTAAAAATTATGGTTCTAAAACTGTAACTTTATCACAAAGGAAAGACAGAAAGATATTTCCTAATCAAACATTCAAATTATAAAAGGAATTCTAGAAAACAAACGGTTTTACAACGACTACTACTTACTTGCTAGACCTTGGAACTACCATTTCAGCTAGTGTTTCATACTGCTTAATCCAGTCATTGTGGTTTAACCTGCAGAAAAAGTACAGTAAGCATTGAAAGAGAGAAACAAGTCCTACTTCCTGCCATATCCAGGAAGAAAATAATACGGAGCAAATAGGAAATCTGGCTACAGTAAGCGTACCTCAAATCTATTTAACAAAAAGCCCAAGTTTCCTACTGAGAACGCATTTCAAATACACAGAGTGAAGCAGGAAATACAGATCACCACCCTCTGATATCCAGTAAGTATTGCGAAAGAGGCACACCCTAGAACTAAGTCTAGGAAGGAAGTAAAGCACTGTATAGATTCTAAATTATTTTCAGATTGTTCAGTTGATATATACTATGCCTCATTTTTTAAAAAAAGAAAAAGGCCATGCTGAAATCACTATTATTTCTATTCTGTGGACATTCTGAATGGCTGAATAAAACTACATTTACAGAAAGCAAAGAGTACCAGAAAACAATGAGCAAATGGAGTGACAGTAAACTATGTTGCCATGGACATTGTGCAACATCCTTCTGTAAAGGTTATCATAGGCTTCTGGGGGTGTGGGAGAGAGAAGTATGCTTGAGATTTAAAAAAAAGAATTATGGTGTTTGTAGGCCCGGATAGAAAATAATTTCTATGTAAGGTTCTTTAGGTCCTATGTTTTAATTACAGAGTACAGAATACTATGAAAATTTCTAGTTTTATATACAACTTTTAAATAAAGACTGAATGAGACAAGTCTTTTATCTAGGCAAAGATTATTTTCCTACATAGTATAAAAGCACAGAAACACAGAAGTTTGTTATAAATAATCAGTGTTCCAGTATAGGAGGGGAAGTTATGTAACTAAAATACAAAATAAAACTTCTGGAACCAAACCCTTAGTTTTAGGCCCTTCTCCATGGGCAAAGAAAAATCCAAAAGTCTGCATACCGCAGTGAAGGGAGAAAAATGCAGAGGTCAGATAATACTGTAGCCACTGCAAATTCCATGGAGGTGCTTTTTCTCCCCTTTCTAGGATGCATCATTTTACAGTATTTCCAGTCTCCTAACCAGATAAAAATACAGAACACAGCAAGGAAGCATTCATGCAATGATGCTCTGAAAAGGCCCCAAATCTCCCACCTCACTTTAGATCCTCTGAAGATTCCTTGATAGCAAGACTTCAGTGTTAGTCAGAAGTGAAACCAATAGAATTACACACACACACGAATTCTAATCTTCCTACAAGGGTCCAAAGGTTTCATCTTACCAAGATTAACTATGATTAAATATTAATTAACACAGAAGGTTTTATTTAAACATAGTCACATTCATTCGTTTACATACTGTGTATGGCTGCTTCAGCTATTAACACAAAGTTGACATGACAGAACCGAATAATGTGACAGAGATCAAACAGCTCACAAAACCTAAAATACTACCTGGTTCTTTATAGAAAAAAGTTTGTTAACCCCTGATCTAATCCATTCTTTACTTGTAATAAGGTTTAATTCATCTTAACCAAAGATTTTTCAGAAAAATAAATATAAAGAACTTTCTATTTTGAAAAATCTAAAATTTGTATTCTAAAAACATCCAATAATTTAGCATTAATTAATTTTTTAATGAGCCAACTCTACCAAGCTGCTAAATTTGATTTGGAACCTCAATTTATAATTGATATGTCTCCATTACCAGGTTATGAACTAAATTCTACTGTATATGCCACATGACTAAATGTTGGTTGATAGGATGAATAACAAAGTTATATTTCTTTTACACTGGTTTTTATGAAAAACTTCAAACTGCAATACCAGACCAGATACTAACATTTTCTCATACAGTAAAAACCTTTTATAGTAAGAAGACATACTTGGGAACTACCACCAGTAATGTGATAAGATACTCTGAATCAAGAACAAAGTCATCCTTCTTCACAATTTCTGCTAGACTTCTGGTTAGCAAACTTCCTCTGAGGAATAAGAAAAACATCATTAGTCTGATAATTATGTGCTTCTGTAACACAACAGCAGACTAATCATACTCACATATACTACATATACATCTCAAGAGAAGAATTAGTTTTAAAATTTTTACTTTATAAGAAGTCAACATTTGGCCAAATATATTCCACCCCTGCAAGCAAAGAAATGTCAACATTTATCAAAATTTGCCTCTAGTGTCTACTTTGTGTTTGCTTTAATTATTAAAACTCAGCTCTTCTCTTGATTACATATGTAATATCTTGACTGGGAAGTGCTACTCATTACATATCGATTTAAGTCTATTTCATCATAATTATGAAATTATGTCATCTAGGCACAACCTTTTGTTTTCCTTCATCTCCCTGGGTATCATTTGATACCAGGCAATTTGGGTAAGTTAACCCAATAATCAGCTCTTTCAAATCAGTCTTCATTGGTCTTCCAGTAGTGCTCTTCCCATAATGAAAATGTCTTGCCCTCTTTGTATCCCTGATAGTTGGGTAAGTTAACCCAATAATCAGCTCTTTCAAATCAGTCTTCATTGGTCTTCCAGTAGTGATCTTCCCATAATGAAAATGTCTTGCCCTCTTTGTATCCCTGATAGTATCCAACCAACTCTCCCACTGAGATATAAATGAACAACTTGAATACATACATGCTTAAAGCTACACTGGAGAACAACCAAAACAAGTGTGTCCTAGTTTAAGAAAACTTAATTTGTGAAAAATCTAAACTTGGAAAACAGATCAATTATAGAATTATTACATCATAAAAGGATTCTTCTATAAAATTCTATTAAGCAATAATTGCTGTGCAATTAAACTATGATTGGATTTAAAACAATTAATTTTAAGACAATTTTTCAGTGAAATATCAAATGTGGAAAGGGCATAAACCAGGACCTGGTTCACAAGTATTATTTACGAAGCAAGTATAATAAACCAGCCTCACATCTGTCTGAATTCTGTAAACTTACCTTAATGAACTTTTCTTCATGAAATTAAAAAGAACACCATTTTGATTACACAAACAGCATAAACTATAACAATCTAAACCCCAAAAGTATCTCATTGAGTGCATGCTAATGTGCTTCCCCAATTCTTCATATTCACATATACTTGATATGCTTACGCATTCTTTCGCTCCAAGTTCTGAAGGTTCCCTTTCAAGTTATTGTATGCAGATGCTCGAGATTTCAGGTCATTATCAATCTGAGTAACTCCCTTCAAAAAAGAAAAAGAGAAACAGGCAATTAAAGTGGCTGAACTTTACCTTCTACAGAAAAACACCACTCTATATATATATATATATATATATGTTCTGCATAGAAGTACTTTGAAAGATATGTGCATTGTGAATATTTTCTCCATGTCTCTAACTTATCTTTTTATTTTATTAACAGTAACCTTTAAAAAAGTAAGCTTTTTATTTTACTTTATTTATTTATTTTTTTTTATTGAAACATAGTTGACTATACATATGTGTGGGGTACAGAGTTGAATATCCACACCTGTGTGCAATACACCACCACTAGTTTCTGATGTGAGAATATTCTATTATTTTTAAAATAACCTGTTTCATTTTTAATATAAATTCCATATGAATCTTTTGTACTAAAGATAATGTTTTATTCTACATGTATTTTAATTATTACTACTATATTACTTCTTAAACCATGGAAATAAAATCTAGGTCACTGGGTTTGGAAATTACTAATTAAAAAGGCTTCAGTTAACAAGATTGAAGGATTTATTTCCAAAAAGAACTGAATTACACAGTTTTGTTGTTACAAACTCCACCACATGTTGAGTATCTCTAACTCAAAAATCCAAAATCAGAAATGCTCCAAAACCCAAAACTTGCTGAGCACTAATGTGCTCAAAGGAGCACTGACATGACACTCAAAGGCAATGCTCACTGGAGCATTTGAGATTTCAGATTTTCAGGTTAGGAATGTCAACCAACATATATTCTGCAAATTTTCCAAAATCCAAAAAAATCTGAATGTGAAACACTTTTGGTCCCAAGCATTTCAGGTAAGGAATACTCAACCTGTATTATTATGCAAAATATTTCCTCAATGAAATTAAAATTGTAGCTGAGTTTACAAAAGTAATTTTTCAAAAGATGACTGAAACTACTAACTACTTAGGGAGAAAACACAAAGTAGATTTAATATTTAAAGAACTGGTTTCAACTAAGCTCTACCATTATTAGTTGTGTAGCACTAGGGTCAGTCACTTCACCTCTCTGAGCCTGTTTCCTTATCTATAATAGAATCAGGAAGCAGAAGATTAAATCCTTGATAAGGATCAAAAGAAAATAAGATCACTCATAGTAAGAGCACCACTTTATATGATCAAACCACTCATTTAAAAAAAAAATTATATAAGACATTAAACTCTTTGATAAGTCCATTCATTTACACTGTCCAACTAAAGTCACTGGGAGACAAGCAAAGTGTCCGATAATTTAAACCATAGTTTTGCCCCAGCCAGGTCATCAAGACTGCTGGCAAACAATTAATAGTCCTTGTCTATTTTGCCTCATTATAGTTTCTGTTAAGACTTTTATATTTTCTCTCAAGCTCAAGGACTTCTCAATATAAAAAGAGCTCTTAACTTAGGTTCATAGATTGGCTTCAGTGTCCATGTACTTTCTGAAACTGTACATAAAAGCATGTAGTACATGAATACAGGCATTTTTTTAGGCAGAGGAACAATACTAAATAGTCAGAAGGAATGAAGAGAACCCATAAAGTTTAATGTCTTAACAAGTACTGCATATTAACATATTTGAGTGACTACTATCATCTTCCTGAATGATATAAATCTTTAATAAATTTCAATTTCCTATTCTACATGACCTGTTACCTTTAAAATTTGTATAAATAATAATTACAGAATTTTAAAGTTTCTTTTTATTTAAACATTATTGGTGCAATATAAGTTAACCACATAAATAAGTAAACTATACAACTTAGATAAACTACACATGAAAGTGTTATACTTTTTTTTTTTTTCCCTTTTTGTCTTTTTTCGTGTCCGGCAACGGACCGCAACCCTCAGTGTTGCGCCCGTACCGGACTGGGACCAGCAATGGGATCGCAACCCTCGGTGCTGTGCCCGCCCCTCGCTCAACCAGTGAGCGGGAACCGGTCTGTATGTGGGATCCGAACCCTCGGCGGGAGTGCCGCCGCGTTCCCAAGCGACGCACTGTAGCAGTGCGCCACCGGGCCGGCCCAAAGTGTTATACTTTTTAACATCTTTAACATCTAAATGTCTTACCTCCTGTTTGTATCTGTAACATAATTAAGTTGCTTGTTGAAAACCTAGAAAGTATTTCATAGCTAAATTATAAAATAAACAAAGCCAACACAAATCAATACTCCTGTGTCAATTTTTATATCTTACCTTGGCAATTATTTCAGAAATATTTTTCAGGGACTGCTTGATTGGATATTTGGCCATATCCCACTGGAACCTTGTTATATAAGTAACCAAGTCAACTGAAATAAGGAATAATTACTAAAGAGAAGCAACAGAATTTATTTTACAGTTTTTTTATAGAGCAATCCATTTTTTTTATTGAAACATAACTGATCAGAGCAATACATTTCAATGCTGAAATTGGCATTGAGAAAATCAGCAAAAATGTCAATTGAAAGAAGAGTCCTAATTAAATAAATGTAAAACTATATTAAGTAATATGAGTTAATAAAAATTTTTACCTTGTGATTTCTTCTCCTTACTCAAAATTTTATATATCTATATTAATATGCTCCTTCTAATTTGATGACTTAAATGGAATATGTACCTATCCATGATATGCCTCATATGTAGAAGAGACACAAAGATTAAGAAACTACTTCAAATTGTCTCTTCAATAAGTAGAATCTGATAAAAGTATGTTCTTTGACAACTTACCCAAACAAATTGAAAATAAACTTGTCTGTTAAAACCATGTGATGACTGTTTCTAGAAGTCTACACTTCAACAATCTTCAAAACATGGACTCTTTCACTTTTGAATGGGAAGAATAAGAAATGTAGAGCCAAGAGACACTCAACAGCTAACTCCCAAGAAATTCAGTAATCAAAACAACTTTACCCCTTAAGTCTAATGGGACCAAGGTCAGAAAAACCAAATGTCAAGTATGGCAAAGCTAGCTGACAAAAGTAATTCATATCAAAATATCCTTCTCTCCTCAATTTCTCCTTACATAATACCAATGAGTCAACAGATAATATTTCCAAAAGCAATCTTAGATGCACTGTCATACAGACTGTCAACGGCCATTCCACCTACTAGACTGACTGCCTAGTTCATGAAATACCTAGAAGATCATCAGTAAAGGCACCATAAATTAACATATCTACCTTCTGTCCCAAGGAAAAAGGGATCGTTTCCAGTTACTAATCGTATAGTCAAGAAAGCATAATGGCTCATGAGAGGGCAGTGAAGGATACAAATGGGTTTGAAAGGATGGTTACAAGGGAAGAAAGTATATTCTTGCCAAGGGGCATCATATGAGTCAAGATAAGGAGAAGTGGAAAAGCAGTGGGCAGAGAATGGTGAGAGGTCCAGAATGACCAAAGTGGCATGCTCAGAAGTATGAGAGCTTAGGCAACGAAGGTGGCGGGAGACCAGACTGCAGATTACTATATTTTTAACTAATTAAATATATATTTATTGAGCATCTATTACTTGCAAGAAGAAATGAGATTAGAGGAATACTGGATTTAAAATACAGTGACCTTATCACAGCAGGCAATACAGTATATAATGAAAAGAAAGGGTTATTTCCTATTATAATGACATATCACTAAAGATGAACCTAATTTAAAATGAAGCAAATGCTAAAGTGTTATTTCATAAGAAAACAACAAATACAAGCACAAATGACAATGAGGTTAAAGCCATCTTTATAAAGCCATTATTACGTACAGCAAACCATATGTAAATATTAGCTTCTAGCTACAGAGAAGTCAGTAGATTATTTTATGGGTACTAGGTAAAGAAATGCCTTATTTAACTTTGAATGGAGGAGACATTACTCTGCAATAAAATTAATCATTTCTATTCTAAGGCTTTAGCAGTTGGATGCTATTAAATACAAAAAGCTAGAGAAAACAGCATATATTCAACTAAAACAATGCTGAGATATATAACCTGGAAAGTTACTTGTAAATATGAGTTGACAGATAGATCCTGGAAAGAACTAAGGTAAATCTTTGTGATATCACTTTTGCAGAAGACTTGACATCATATTATAAGCTATATTATATATTATGTAAAACTGTCTTACATAACATTATATTTTAGGGGACAAGATACTTTCAGTATCATCTAATTCAGTAATAATAATAATTAAAATACAATAACAATTATCAAAACAAAAACAGTTATCAAATCATAAAACATTGGCTTACCTCCATTGGCCAAAAGATTCTCCTGAACTTTATCTTTACTATCCTCCAATACATCAGCCATGTATTGAGCCACTTTCTTAACCACCCTGAGAAGAAAAAAAAAAAAAATCAACAACCATTTTTAAGAAAAAGACCTAAATTCCATGCTATACAATGAATATATTACATAAAGACATGAATTTGATTACATATGTTCCCATTATACATATCTATATGATACAGAAAAAATGGGTCCTATCCTAAAATGTTTTAAGGATAAAATAGACCAAGATTTTGTTACATGCAAAAATTAACTGAATGCTGTAAGATTTTATGGAGACTACATGCAATGTGTTTATTAGTCCACGAGGAAAGTAATGGGAAGCTAGTGAGAAAACAGTCTACAAAGAGCTAAGAAACTGCAACCATGGATCTGACTGCAAGGTCCAAGAACAAATGAAGAGACAGGGAACCGGCATTCACCATGTACCTATTACTACATGCCAGACACTGTGCTTACTTATGAAAGGTATCCAACAGGCAATAGAACATAAACAACAGTCATAATGAAGAATGAGGTCCTACATTATTTGTCCATGAACTATTTATTGCGTATGCCAGACACTGTGCTTACTTATGAAAGGTATCCAACAGGCAATAGAACATAAACAACAGTTATAATGAAGAATGAGGTCCTACATTATTTGTCCATGAACTATTTATTGCGTTTCCACTATTTACAAGGAGCTATACTGTAGAGGAAACCATAGTGTCAAAACTACCAAGGTATTTTGATATGACCTTTTCAATCCCTTCATTTTATAAGTAAGACTCTGAGGTATAAAGAGAATAAGTAACTTATTCAGAGTCACAAGACCAGTCAAGCTGATGGCAGAGCTGTGACTAGAAATGTGGTGTCTTGACTTTGAGTCCAGTGTTCTTTCCCCCATTCCATGTCTGCCTCTAGGCCCTAGATGCAATTCAAAATTATACAAGACAAAATCATTACCCTGCACTGCTTAAAATTTAATTGGAGAAATACAAAAATATGTAAATGACTAAACACAAAACAATCTGAGGTAAGTGTCAGCTGAGATTACCAGGTTACAGACAGAAAAGGATAAAGGAAAAAGGGATCGTTTCCAGTTACTAATCGTATAGTCAAGAAAGCATAATGGCTCATGAGAGGGCAGTGGAGGATACAAATGGGTTTGAAAGGATGGTTACAAGGGAAGAAAGTATATTCTTGCCAAGGGGCATCATATGAGTCAAGATAAGGAGAAGTGGAAAAGCAGTGGGCAGAGAATGGTGAGAGGTCCAGAATGACCAAAGTGGCATGCTCAGAAGTATGAGAGCTTAGGCAACGAAGGTGGCGGGAGACCAGACTGCAGACAGGTAGCCTCTAATGACAGACCCTAGACAAAGATGTAACATGGTTCAAACAGGGCTTAGGACAATTATTCTGATGGCCAGTCACAAAAGACCATGTACTGTATTCCATTTACACGAAACATCCAGAATAGGCAAATCTATACTGTCTGAAAGTAGGTTAGTGGGTGGTGGGGGACAGGGAGTGACTGCTAATGGGAACAGGAACAGGACATTGAGAGGGTGATGAAAACCTTCCAAAACTGATTGTGGTAATGGCTGCATAATTGTGACAACACTAAAAATCTGTGACAATACTAAAAATCATTGAATTGTACACTTTAAACAGGTGATTGCGTGGCATGTAAATTATATCTCAATAAAGATATTAAAAAGAGAATCACCATTTTCACACTTCAAACAGATGCATTTTATAGTATGTAAATTGAACTTTATAAAGTTGGTTTACAAAGAAAAAAAAAGTCATTTTCTAAAACCACCCCAATAAGCAGAGTATACCCCCTTGATAAACCCAATGTCTAGGTAGCCTGATAATAGTGTCTCCCATTTTGCTCTGCTCCATGTATGTAAGTACATTACCCTTCTACAAACGCATCCAGTTTAGCCAGTTCATCTGACAAGCCAACCAATACATCCAGTGTGCCAACCTAGAAGGGAAATACAGCATTTTATTATTCAGGTTTCATTTGTTTAATAAGATGATAGAACATTTGATTTGAAGGGCCCACAAATCTTAAGCTCTCTGTATTTTACTTCATAATGTGTAAGTGTGGTTAAAAGATATTTGCCAGACATTTCATGTACAAGATAATCCTCTAATTCATGGGTACGAGCTCCACTTAAGATGTGAAGACTCCTCAAAGGCAGGCCTGTGCTTGTACTGTTCACTGACAGTGGGTCTTTTGAAGTTCTGGTTAACAACATGGGCTGTTAAGCAGGAGGTCCATGGGTATGCATAAGAAGGTCTGTAACTGAATTTGTATGCAAAACCGCGTGTAAATGAGCATGTTTTGAAGGAAATGTCCCATCTCAAAGAAATCTGTAACTCCAAAAATATTAAAAACCTGTAATTTTAACTATTTCTTAAATGAATGCTGCCTCTGACTGCCTCACTTAGTTAGTTACCAGCAAAATGTAATTATCATGATCTCTTCCATTCTTTACAAAAGTTCAGCCAACTGATTACTAGCAGCCTACTTCACTTTGAGGTTGCTAGATTACTGATCTTCAATAAATGTTAAACAGATTAACTAAAATAACTAGATTAGATTTGCCAAGTATGATTAAGTAGGTGCTATTATGGCAACACATTTACAATGTTAGTCAGCATAATATGAATTTAATAACAGAAAAACTAATTCACTGTGATATTTAAATATATATACAACTAAGATTTTTCCCTTCTGAAAATCATATTTGTGAAAATAATGTATCAAATATTTTCATAAGATTTCTCATTACGATTTAGAAAAGCACATAAAAGTCTAAGTAGAAAAAGATGTTATTTCATTTTGGTAGTTTACTTCTAAAAATCTCAAAAAACAAGATACACTTTAAATTAAGCTCATGGCTAGAGATGAAAGAGTTTTCTTATGAAGGATCCTTGGGTATCTCACTTCTACCAAGAGAAAAGTGGCCCTCCTCTTGAGGATGAACTCATACACTTTTGCATACTGCAGCTTCACCTTTAAGTCAGGAATGTTGAACTTGGAAGTGACAGCAAGATTATTGTTCTTTGTAGTTGCTGCATGCAGTTTCTCCCATGTTTGCTGACAGGTTTTCTCCCCAGGAGCAGATATGAGCCAGAACTCAGTCATGTTTGCTACCAGGTATTTCTTCCAAAATCAAGAGAGACTCTGAAATGTAAGATGAAACAAAAAAACATTGATCATTTGTTTCTAAAATGTTTTAGAGTACTAGGGTGAGTGATAAAGTATAACCTGTTTCAAAACTAATCTAGCACTGGCATATGATCCCAAGCAAAGTCAAATTTACTTACCTGGAAGTAAATCCATCTAAACAGTCAAAGGTGATTTATTTATGATACTAGGAAAGAGAGATGACAAAGACCTAATACATGAAATACCTAATTTTTTTAAAAAATTATAAAACATCCTAAATGGGAATTATTCAAGTGAGATTACCCAAAATACCAGCCACCGATAGTTTAATTCAACCAAGGAGGTTGGAGATCACAAATTTATAGTTTTATCTTAAGCTTTTAAACATACAATCAAAATAGGAAATAAGAAAAACATGCATATCTTTTACCTCTGAGAAAGAATTTTACTGAATCAATGTATTTGAACACTAGTCACAAAATAAACTTATTGCACTGGTCTTGCAAATCCTACAGGGCCGGTCAACTTGGTGGTTAATTCTAATCCACATTCACCCAAGGGAATTCTCCTTAAATCCCTGATGCTTGCAAAAAAAAACCTCCAAACAAAAAACAAGATTCTTGCCAGTCTGTCTGGCTATTTTAAAATATAAGACTTTTGTTATGGGGATAATAAACATTACTGGATCTGAATGAGAGAGAGGCTGTGGATCTCTCTTTCCAAAGAGTCGCATTAAAACACATTTAACTCTTCTACAATCTGTTTTCCTCTCCCCTCCTCCATCTCACCCTCCCTACACATGGAGCAAAAAAAAACCAAAGTACAGAGATAAATCAGAATCTAAGAAGCTAAAGCACACAAACACAAAATAACTCATATAAATGAAAATATTACAGTATCATTATTTCTACTTTAATATGCCTTCATGAGAACCACCATAAGCTTTCTACTACCACTGCTCTTTTAACCTCACCTGAAACTGGAATTCCATGTCTGTTAATCGGAAATAACTATCTTGCAAAGTTGTCCTGAGAACAAAATCAGATAATGAATGTGAAAGGACCTCGTAAATTTAAATTTCCTTTAAAATACAAAGTATCACAATAATCAAAAAATAATAAAAATATTATAATAGACTTTCATAATTTCAGCAGCCCATTTTAAAGTAATCCTATTCATTATAATACCATTGGAAGTGAACTTAACATAGATGCCTTCCTATATACTCGTTATTTTTTCTGTTTATAGAGCATTTACCATATACTGGGTACTGCTCTAAATGTTTTATACATTACCATCTCAATTAATCTTCCCAACAACTCTATGAGATAAATATCATCCTCCCCATTTACAGATAAGAAACTGAAAACTCAGAGAAGTTAAATTGGTATAAATATAAATGGTGGTATTAAAATGAATATCTCAATAAATTGTACTCTAAGATGATTTTTCCAACATTACTAATGAAGTTGCACCTTCATCATCCCTCGGTAACGAGCTACACACTTCACCAAATGGTAAGATGATTTTTCCAACATTACTAATGAAGTTGCACCTTCATCATCCCTCGGTAACGAGCTTCACTTCCTCAAATGAAAGAGCTACACACTTCACCAAATGACCAACAAACTAAACACGGGCTAGTTACCAATGGCTAGCCTAAAGTACTAAGTCTGGCCAGAGAACAACACAGCTTAACTGGCCATCCAAGTACAGAAGCCACTCATGAACACCAAGCTCTAATGAGCCCATTCAAAAACAAGCTTTGATTTAAAAACATAAGCAAAAACAAAATACTCACTAGCCTACCTGAGAAACTTCAAATGTTAAACTTCAAGGCTATCACATATCACACTAACCATATTCTCTCCAATCTGATTTTTTTTCACTCAACCTATTTTTAGAATTATTCATGGTGATCTATGTAGGTCATTCATTGTAATTTCTATATGATATTCTATTCTATGAATAACCTAAAATTTATTTTAAAATTATTTAAATTATTTATTTTAAATTATTTTAGTTAAGATTTTAGTTTATTATATGAACAAACTAAAATTCATACATTATTTTCCTTCTAGAAGGATTGTTAAATTGTTTTTACTTTTTTGCTATTATAAACAATTCTGCAGTGAAAAACTTTGTACATATCTGTTTTTGTGAAGAGTTTCCCTAGAACAGATAGGAATAAAATAGCTGAATTGCAAAGTACGATCATGTGGTAGATTATCTTCAAACATGGAGGCAACATGTCTTTCCATGATCCTATGCAATGTGATTTTGCCATTCCTACCACCTAAAGGTGGAGGTGGCCTTGTGCTTGCTTTGACCAATGAAACACATGAAATCCACACCATAACAGCAGGGCCCAGGCCTCAAGAGGCCTTGCAACTTCCCTATCTGTTTCTCATACCACTGCTCTCAGAATGCTATGCATGGAAACCAGTCTAGCCTACTGGAAGATAAGAGGGCCACATGGCAGACAACCAACAACCAGCATAACTGCCAGACATGTGAAGGGGGCCATCCTGAGCCTTCTGGCCCAGCCAACCTCCCCGCTGAATGCAGCACCGTCAAAGAGCTCACATGAAACAAGCAGAGCAATCACCCCAACTCAAGAATAAAAAGAAATATGAAAACACTGAAGCCACTAAGTTTTTTTTTTTTTTTAATTTTTGTTGAATCATAATTGATTATACATATTCTGGGCGTTCAACACTGACATATGTTGATTAAATCAATATTACTAGCATATATTTTGTTACAAATCGTACTTAATTCTTTATGCCCCTTGTCTAATCTCTCCCCATCCCCCTTTCCCTCTCCCCTCCCACCTCTGATAACCCTAGATTTCTTCTCTCCTTGTGAAAAAGTAATGGTTACTCTGTTGATTTGTTGCCTAGATGATCTGTCCAATGCTGAGAGGTTCAGGTACCCCGATATTATTGTAGAGCAGATGCTTTTTCTGTCACTCTGGAATGGGCTATGTGAAGAGAGACATCTTCTTCTTTGGTCTCTGCTGGTGACTCTCCTTGTGTCAATGCACTCCACTGGCTGGCAGGCTGTCTGCGTGGTGGTTGTGCTGTCTAGCCACTTTTGCGGCAGCCATGGTTATTGCGGTGGCTATGGTGGGCCACCCATATGGAGGTGATATTTTTGGCATGCTCCTTGGTGCTGGCGGTGTGCCTGGTTTTGGGGGGGTGGGTCTGGTTCCCGGCTCTGTACCTCAGGTCCCTGAGCAGGCCCCGAGACACTGGTGGTGTGCCCAGTTGTAAAGCCACTAAGTTCTGAGGTGGTTTGTAATGCAGCATGAGATAACTGACACAGACCGCTGCCATCTCTACTGGGTATTGCCAAATTGTTCTCCAAAGCTGTTACCAACTTAAGTTCCCACCAGCAGAGTATGAATTTAAATAACACACAATGGTATATGTGGTTCATAATTAAATATGTTCAGAAAGTACAAAAACATGCATAGGAGAAAGGGGCTTTAGTTTTTTATGTAAGACTTTATTTCTTTTAAAAAAAGATCTGAGGCAAAAATGGCAAAATGTTA